TATATATACGAAATTTAATTGTTAAAAAACTATTAAAAATAAATAAAATCTTACATTTTTTTTAAACCTAATATTAAAATCTAATATTTTATTATATTCACAATTTATTATTATTTTTTGTTGTGTTTTATTTTTATCTCACATCGTCCACTTATTTCTTTTGTCTAAGGAAAGTTTATCAACAGCTGAGCGATGATTAAATTGAATTTATTTAATGAGACTGACGGAACAGATTGATTTTTGAATTAATTCATATATTTATAATAGTTATATTAATAGTTTATTTTTAATATTGATTAAAATTCCTATAAAGTCCCTTAATTAAAGGTTTTTTTTTTAATCTTCAAATAAGCTTACATACGTTAGGTAAAATTCTTGCAGCTGTTCTACTTAAGGATATACTTATGACTGTCAGGCACATTGAATGAATGCAAAGAACGCATAAGTTATTAGTAAGAATAGAAAGCTCTAGCAATTCTTTAACGCAGCATCTATATGATGCTGAACAAGCTTTGTCAGACAAAGAAAAGAATAATTCACTATGAAACAGATAGTGAACATGTTTAATGCATATTACTTCGATCATCGCCTTCATCGCCAGCAACTTCAGAATGAAGTATTTTTGTGTTCTTTTTTTTTTTTGGTGTTTGAACACTTGGTACATTGGAAACATTCCGAAAATCGTTGGCTAAATTCTTTGGCGCATGCTTTTCAGCAACTCTTAACCAGTTGGCTGCCAGTTGATCAAGTGACTGCCCTGACGCTCGGGCTCGGTTCACGTTTGGGGCATTGGCAGGAGCAGAGCACAGAGCACAGAGTACAGAGCGCACGGACGGCGACTGGTTTTATACATTGCGGCAGCTTCAAGCAAAAAAAAAAAAAAAGAAGCAAACCAGGGGAAAAATGCCGCTCTTTATTGTCATAAGATTTGAAAAGAACCGACGAGCTGGCCAGAACAATGTCACACTAAACTAAACCGAGCTGAGCCGAGCCGAGCAACGGCTGGGCAATAAATTCTGAAATAAGTTGAGGCCGATGTCAGCACAAATCTTTGAAACTTCGCACACACGACAAGGTCGTTTCAAAGCTTCCAGTGCTCACACATTCTCCCTGTTCTACTCCTCTGCTCCTCCTCTGCTTTGGTCTCTCCTGCTGCAGGCTCGGTTCATTGAACCAGCTACTCCTACGCCGCAAAACAGAAATCCGCGCGGGAAAAGGAGCGGAAAAATCGAATACATTTGGCAATTGGCAATTGGCAATTGACAACTGGAAACAGTAGCCAATAGATTTACGCCAACTGCAGTGGAGTCGGGAGTGCGCAGAGCAGCGCAAACCTGTCGCCGCCGCCATGGACATTCCTGGGCCACCAAACATTGCACGGGGTTGGAGGCTGAACGTGTGCCAAGCCCACGACAACGACCACTGCCACGGCGCGACGCTGCGACGTTGCGGCGTTGGCAGCGGAGCAGTAGAGCCACGTCTGGTCATAACAAGAGCAAAAATGCTAAGCGTAAATAACTCATAGATAATAATGCAATGCATTTGCGAGTAAAGCAATTGCAATGCAGGCAAAACAAAAGACTTAGGACACGAACTCGCCAAAGGAGCAGCGCGCAGCAGCCGAGTCATGTAACAGCCGCAGCCGCAGCCGCAGCGGCAGCAGCACTCGCAGTAAAATCGGCTCAAAAACAAGATCAACTGGTTTCAAAGCAACAACCAGAGGCAAAATAAAAAAGAGAGAAAAAAAGACTCACTCAATATGTTGAGCTCAAGACCTGTTGAGACCCAAGCAAGACCCATTGTTGGTCTATTGCGCGTGCCGTGCGCTGTAAAAATACTTTTTCCCAAAGAAGTTTCAGTTGTGTTTTTGACTTTTCGTCGTGCAGAACGATTCTGCTCTAAACGTGATTATCGCCCAGACGCAAAACGCAGACGCCGCGGGCGTTTTATGGGTGTATGTGTACGTGTATGTGCATGTGAATGTGTGAGTGTGTAATATTCGCGAAAAGTTGTTTTCGCTACAACCCATACTTATATACATACAAATATATATATGTATATATACGGTGTCTACCCATATGCATGCATACATATTTGTATATAAAGTCAATTTTCCTGTTAACGAAACCTGCCAAAACTGCAGCAGCAGCAACAACAACAACAACAACGACAACAAAATGCAACATACGTAAATTTGGTGTCGAGTGCAACTCCCCCCACATCCTCCGCGCTCTCCGCACTGGGTAAACATCGCATCTCTGTGTGCTCTGTGCGCGAGTTTAGTGATGTGCTAAATGCTAAACGTCTAGCAGATCAAAGTACTCGCAAATATGCAAATGCTACATGAATAATTATATGTGTGTACGTATCTCTCGAGTGGCCGCCGTTGGGTGAAAGTAAACGAATTTGTTGTAATTAATTGCACGCGAGCATCGTTTATGAAGTCTACATACGAAAGTGGATAAATATTTAAGACAATCTTCGTCTCACTTGGATAAACAGCGAGCGACATAGAATTGATGGGATTTGTCGACAAAGCTAAATGGATAAAACTATTTGAGGTGAGCTGAAGAGATGCCCGGTGCATGCTCCAATCATTCATTATGTTAGAACGAAGACTGAGATTGGGCCCAGCGAATGAGATAAAGCAAATATTTTGTTGCTCAAATTTACTGTTAAAAAGAATGTTCAGCAACGATGTAGATATCTAAGAAATTCTTTTGATTGGAATAAGTCCTCAATTCAAATATATACATATATGTGCATATACATTCATATAGCGAGATATATGTATATAATCTAGCCCATTTAGATATCTCAAATTCATAGCTAAACTGTTGACTTTGCATAAGCCTTTAGCGGACTTTAAGTCAAGTAGCGAATTAGATTCCACACTTAAGGCATCCATTTCTATTCACTGATATGTTATGAATATGTTAAGAACTCCAGAGCAGGTTGTAGGTCAAAAACGAATTGGTTTATGCAAATATTGAAATCTTACAACGGCTCAACTGTGTCGCCAGCCCCATTCCATAAGTTTCGGCAAATTTATGCCGCGAATAAAACCCGAAACCCAAAATTTGTGCCTTTTGCCCGACTCTTTGACAATACGGCCGAGCCGCCTTTTTGGCAGCAGCCACAAAATATGTCGCCTATCAAATAGATACATTTGCTGGTCTGCGTTCGCTGCTCTCTGTTCGCTGTTCTGGTTTTAAGTGGAAAACAAACAAGCTCTCAAAGAGTTTCGAAATAGCATTCAGGCAAACAGAAATGTTTATGCATATACCCACAGTTGCTGGTTAACTATTTTTATTGACTCTAGCTTCGACGCTTGACACCTTTGCGCTTTTGTTTACGATCTCGGCCAATGAGATAGARCTTATTGCTTT